CGGGGGCCGCCCTCCTCCCTCGCCTTGGCTCCCGCGGCCGGCGAGGGGAGCCCGGGCCGCGCGCGGCTGCTGCTGCCGCCGCCTCTCCTGGGGGCGCCGCCTCCCCGGGCGGGGCCGCTGCAGAAGGGTGAGTGGTGAGGGCGGGACGGGGCCGCGCGCTCCTTTCCTCGTCGCGCGCCTTGGCTCCCGTGGCCGGCGAGGGGAGCCCGGGCCGCGCGCGGCTGCTGCCGCCGCCGCCGCCTCTCCTGGGGGCGCCGCCTCCCCGGGCGGGAACGCTGCGGGTGCGCGAGGGAGGAGGGCGGCCCCCGGGGGCTGGGAGAGCCGGGCTGCCGTGGCCGAGAGGGCTGCTCTGCCCGGCGCCGCTGAATAATTTTCTTAAAGTGGTGAAATCAATAGAACTTACTTCCAAGTAAACATGCTTGTGTTTGGTGTGCGGGAATATTGTGGCTGTATCCTTGCCAATGTGGTTGTAACCTTAGGGTTTCTCTGCTGCTATAGCTATTCATCAGTATGAATATTTAACTTCAAATCGCTATTAGCATGCCACGTTTTCCATGCAGTCATTTTAGCCTGCGTTTTGGCAGAACAACACGACTTGCAAAAAAACATAAGATTCTGGGCATGTTATGTAGATGGCATTTAGTCCTTAGATGGGCCTCATCAGGGTGAGTTTCGTTTCTAAAACCTGCTTTACGATAAAGCTTATAATCTCAAAAATTTAACCCAAAATCCAGAGGGCAATGAGATCATCACTTCTCCATTCTCACCACCTTCATTGCCATCTAAAGAGCTGCATGTTCCAGGTGTTTTGCGTACATTTAGTAAAGTGTAGCTTGTTTTCCTTTTTAAAAAAGCAAGGTGAAAATAATACCCCATGGCATCCCTCGCGCACCCGCAGCGTTCCCGCCCGGGGAGGCGGCGCCCCCAGGAGAGGCGGCGGCAGCAGCAGCCGCGCGCGGCCCGGGCTCCCCTCGCCGGCCGCGGGAGCCAAGGCGCGCGACGAGGGCAGCCGAGGAAAGGAGCGCGCGGCCCCGTCCCGCCCTCGCCACTTACCCTCCTGCAGCGGCCCCGCCCTGCGGGGAACTTAGAAAACTTCCCGGGGCAGGACCCCGGTATGGGCCCCCCCAATATTTTTTATAAGTTGGCGCCCCTGCATACGAGGAAGGGAGAGAGGGGAGCCCCCCCTCCGGGGCACTTCCAGGCTGCGGCAAATTTCATCACAGGCTGGCAAATTCAGGTAGCACAATTTTAGTCGGTTGTGAGAAAATCCTGGGAGCACTTCTTGGGTTCGGCTGTGCAATTGTTTCTTTGCTGGAAGGGGGTTCAAAGAATTTAGGGCAGCTCCCATTCCTTCACAGGAGAGCCCCATAAACTTATTATGGGATAGCCCTATGGGAAGAGGGTGAAAGAGAGGTGTTGGGTTGCTCTTTCCACCTGCTTCCAAAGCCATCCCCCCCTTTTTGTGGTGGTGGAGAGTCAATTAAAACCTTCAAGGAATGACCACAATGCAGGTCTTTTATGATATAAAGAGGTGGAAAAAATTCACTGGAGGGACCATTTCCTCTTGCCATTGTTTACTGGGAAGGGAGGAAGCAGGAATGGGGAGGGTTCAAATGGGATGAGGGCAAAACCACAGGGAGGATTCCTTTTTAAAAGGAAGAATTAGGAGGCAGGGAGCAACAGGGCTTTCCATTTTTCCACAAAACAGAGAAGATAAATGAACTCAACTTCCTTTGAATACGCCACTCTTGAAAAGGCAGGATGCAAACTTTTCAGACAGCTTTTTGAGTTCCGAACAGTGCAAAACCATCCCCTGCGCTAGATTAAAAGAAAAATGCAAGCAGCGTCCATTGGAGGGTACGTTTTGTAGGGCAGCCATGGGCCTTCCCTATGGGGCTGGACCAAGGCCCCAAACAAAATGCAAAGCCTTTCCGATAGAAAGCTGGAACCTTCCTCCCTGACATGCTACTTTTCTGCATGCGAGGATTGTAATTTTTTTTAAATTTAAATGGAGAAAGAAGCCTTCTGTTCGTGTGATTCGGAGGTGGTGCAGTCCTGCCGTGTCTGGTGGGAGTTGGTTGGGAGGTCCGAGGTTGGCCAAGGCTGTTGCATTTTTTAAAAAGAGGGAACTGGAGCAGGTGTTCGAATCCCCACTGGGCCATCATTTGGGGCAACCAAAATTATCAAAGGGATGGAGGGACTCGCCTACGAACGAAAAGGTCGCAGCATTTGGGCATCGCGTGAAGCTGAAAGTTTCAGGACAGATAAAAGGAAGGAGTTATTCACGCGGCGTAGGGTTAAACTGTGGAACTCACTGCCACAAGAAGCAGCAACGGCCACCAACTTGGATAGCTTTCAAAGAAGAAAAGAGAAATTCATGGAGAAGGCTAATACTTCCCCATGTGTATTCAAGGGCAGAAGCTCACATTCTTCCTTTGTCTTGCCCTCCTTTCCCTTCCCCACTATCTATCTATCTATCTATCTATCTATCTTGTAAGCTCCTTGGGGCAAGTCCTCATTTCTCTTGCTCTACGGCAGGGCTGGAGGGTCTCCTCTGTGATCTCCTCCCTGCTTCTGCAGTGAGTCCCCGCTGCCATTTGGCACTTACAAATTTTGCACTCTGAATCTCTCGAGACATCGCTGTGTTTGGGAATCGCAAGCAGGCAGCTCTGGCTTAAGCGCATGAGAAGCGCATGAGGCCCACTGCAAATCAGGAGGGAGCTTGGAAAGATCTCCCTCTCTGGTGGCTTTGTAAAAGGCCATTTCCCTCGATGAAGGAGCATAAATACAAGAAACGGAAGAGTGAAAAGCCTCCATAAATATTGGGTGGCAAATGTGCTTTGACTGCAGATAGGCTGGGCCATGGCCATGTTTGGGAGCTTGAGAAAGTCCCGCCATCCTGAACCATGACTAAGGAGTTACTCATCCGGCTGGCTGAACTGCCTGCAAGTGGGATAGGTGCCATCTTTTGAGGCCTTGCAGGCAGCCAACACCTCAGCGTGCAAGAAAAGGCTACCATAGCGGCCAGAGCTTTGCTACTGTTATCACATGACTTCATGGTCATCCCCCCAAAAATTATTGTGAATATCACTGCACGTAGAAAGCTAGCAAGTCAGGGAGAGAGGTTCTAGCTTTCTAGCGGCAGGGCTCCGAGTTACTGTAACAGCTCAGTGAATTTATCAAAAATAAAACAAAAATAATATCCCCTTGTCATATCCTCTCACAGGACTTGTTTGCTTTTCCTGCTCAGCCTCCCCTGCACCTGCCACAGCAGCCATTTTGTATTTGGCCACAGCCATTTTGTTGTGCCACACATAGGTCACAGCAGCCATTTTGCATTATGACACACAGGCCATTCCATGTTACGCCCCACATCTGCAGCAGCCCCACACCAGCCATTTGGCGACTGGCACCCACAGCGCTTCTAATTCCAAACCAATTCCAAAAAACCTGCCCCCCTGTGACCAGGAAAGAACCTGGGATTTTCTTTGGCATCCTCCAGATGCCCTCCTGGTGCCATTTCGCATACCCCTGACAACAAGGAGGGGGCTTTAAACACAAAAGGACACGTCCAGGAGCTTTCCATTTCAAGGGTGAGCCTGCTCTGTGCGCCCCATGGCCCTCGGGCTTGCTTGCCAAGTCAGCTCTCGCCCTGCAAGCCTTGGGAAGCCACTTGCTCCGGCCCCCGGCTCCTTCCCCAAGCCTTTTTTTCAGCCCCCCGACGGCACAGGATCGCGGGCGCGCCCTCCATTCATTCAGCCTGCTGTGCGCGCCGACGGCCCCTAGTGGCGGACACGTCCCTTTGCAGGGAGAGCTCCGACTCTCCCCCCCCCCCATCCTTCCGCCCCTCCCCGCGCTGCCAAGGACCACGCGGGACTCCTTTTGTGCACGTCCGAAACGTGCTGGGTATTAATAGCATCTGCCTGCTGGGCGGGAGGGGTCGGTGCCTGATAGCAGCAGGCGGGGAGGGCTGGGGGGGGTGTCGGTTGTCAGGAGAAAGGACCAGCTGGGCGGGGAGGGGGGCGATTTGCAAATCCTCCTCCGCCTTCCCCCCGCCCGCCCCGTCCTCTGGGCCAACATGCGCTTTAGCCTATATCCCTCCTGACCTGCTGCTGTTGCAGTTTCGGTGACGGGGCGATGGGGGCCCGCAGGAGGTAAAGGGAAGCGGATCTTTGTACACCCCCCTCCCGAGGGGGCGGGGAGGCCCGCAGCAAAAGCTGCTTGCGAAACCCGAACGGGGCCGAGGCGAGCCTAGACGGGCCCGCTAGCTCGGTAAACCCAGGCAACCCCCCCAAAAAACCTGCATTTTGCACGCGCACAGAAGCAACCTCTTGGCCTTTCCCTCTACCTACAACAAAAAACGAAGGGGGTATATTTAAAAGCGTTATAATTCCGCGGCTAGATCAGCCGTCGATCCCAGCACTTTCTCACCCAAAGTGGCAAACAAAGGTGCCTTCGAATACCGTCCCCCTCAAAAATCAAGGCAGCGAGGCCTCTTATTCAGACGGGTAGACTGCCTCTGTCCCCGGAGGTCACACTGAGTCGTCGTGGCTAGTAGCCTCGACCTCTACCGGCGACTGTGTCCCCCTGGCGCGCCCGTGTCCAGCCGTCTTGAGCCGGTGCCCCAGTTCTGGAAGGGAACCGTGTCCCCATTTCAAACCGGCGCCCTTGGGTGATGGTGGTGTGCGGAAAAGGCGCTCTCCCGTCCGCGGCCGCTCTTTGTTCTGGGTGACCCCGAGTTGTCCTTTCCTCGCTGCTGCTGTTACACGTGTGTGTGTCTGCGCGTGTGTGTCCTTGCGCTGTGCGCCCCGATCTCCTGCTCCCCCCGCAACCCAACCCACCGCATCAGGCAGCGCTTGGTGGAAATAGACGGGGGGGGGGAGAGAAGGGAGGGGGTCAGATTTAAAACACGGAGGACGCTGGAAACTAAGAGAAGGGAGCACGAGAGAGGAAGGGAGACGAACGAGGAGGATTTGGGAATGGACGGGAGGGGGAGAGAAGATTGCGGGGAGCCCGGACCCGCCGACGCCGTCGAGGCGGGTTGGGGAGGGGGCCATCGGGCTGCCCTGAACAGCGCCCCAAAAGAGAGAAAGGGGGACGGGACGGCCTCCGGGCGCCCCTCGATCCTTCCTCGCGGGAAATCCGACGGCCCTTCGCTGCAGAAAGTCCGTTTTGCGTAAGGTGGGGAGACGGACGCGCGAAGGAAGCCATCTTGCCTCGCCCTGGGCTCCCTCGGAAGGATCGCGGGGGTCTCCTTTGCTCGCTAGAGGAGTCTCGGGGGGCGCGAGGTGGTGGTCGCTCTTTGGGCTGGTGGGGGTTGGATGCAGGGGCCACCATTAGATGCCTTCCCGGGGGGGGGTGCAAAAAGCCAGAGGTTTGTGTGCTGGGAAAAGCCAGAGCAGCGCGTCTCCTTTTATTTTCCTGCCCAGGCAAATGCGCCATGGCGAGGTCGCCTTTGCGTCTTGAGAATCCTTTATATATATGCGTCTTTTTAGAAACGAAGGAGTCGAGGGGTTGTTCTTGTTCCTTGCAAATTTCCGCAGGTAAGTATGCGTCCGATTTATTGTCTCTTCGCCTTCCTCCCTCGCCCCTCCAAATACTGTTCTCTGCACTCCGACCTGTTTTTCCATCCCTCATATTCGTCCCGCCACCCGCACCTCCGATTATACACCACCAACAATGTCTTATTGTTTAACAAGCTCTCCTTTGGGTATCGTCTGTGGTGCTAAAACGCCACGTCGAGCTGCAATTTTCACTGTGCACGGACAAACCACGCCGCCTCCCTCGCTGACTCGCATCTTTTTTAATTCTGTGTTGAGGATTGGTTCCATTCTACAGATAAGCAACTGAGGATGACTGACTAGCTTTCTGCCAAAGAGGGGGCTTGTGGGCTTGACGGGAGTTTTCCTAAAATTGCCCCCTCCATTTCCCGTCTGTTTCCCTTCCCCAGCATCCCTTCCATGGCAATGTTAATAAAAAATGCGCGTTGCATTAGCTTCCGTGGCCCCACGACTGGTTATTATTTCCATTAATTGATGCCACGACTGGCGCTCTGCAGGTTAACTAGAAGCAAGACCCCGGATCATCTGCCCCGAGGACCTTACAATCTGAACAATCACCATGAAAGAGGAGTGTAAAAAGACGGGGTGACTTTTGGGGGGGGGTCTGCTTTCAGCGCCTTTGCACCTTTTAGCTTGTGGCGGCTACAAGGTGGAAAGAGGAGCTGTTCATTTTTGGGGTGCCGGCTTTGAATGTGGGTAGCCAGGCGTTGAACCTCTGCCCGGGCAGCCGCGGCGCGCTCCCCGGGCAAAGCTGCGCGCTCTCGCCCCCGCCATTTCTGCTGGTTTAACGTGAAGCTGGAAGAGAAGCGGGTGGGGTAAACGTCGAGCAAACACCAGCATTGTTTTCGGGTGGCGAAGCCACGAGGCTTGCTAAGCGCATTGTCGGGTGATCGGGTTCCCAAGAGTCCCATTTTTAGCCCGGAATGCGGCATCGTGAGAGCGCAGCATAGCGAGCAGAAGAGGAACCATTTTGAAACCAAACGTCCCCTTTTCGTTGTTGTTGCTTAGCGTAGATTTTACAGACGGGGGCTTCAAGCGAGGGAGAGGGGAAGCAGGCCGGTTTTCAGTCGCGAAAACAGCCCTCCGGATACATCCCGGGTCAAAACGCAGGGGTGGGTTCAGACGCGCTTAGAGCAGCGCGCCATGGAAAGCCTTTCCAAATAACCAGCGATTGCATGGGCTCTCCTGCAATTGTGGCTTTTTAAGTCTGGGTTCACCCCCCGAATACTCCAGATCTCAATTTTTTAGGCTGGTCTTCGAAACGTGCTTAGGGAGGAAGCCCCATGGAAGCCGACGATATTTACTTCGGCGTAAGCCCGTTTACCCTTGCGCTGCTTTTATTTGGAATGTGTCGCTTTGGAAAGGAAGCGCGCGTGGGAAGCGCTTTAAAATCGAGCTTTTGCAAGTTGTTATTCCCATGGAAAAAGGGGATCTATTTGAGCTTCTGGAAAAGACAGAAAGCGGGTCGTGCGTAACAGTCCCCGCTGCGCATTCTTCCAAAGGTTTCAGCTGTCCCCTGTAGCGCGAAGGGGCTACGACCGCTGGGTGCGCACTTATTAAAACCAAATTAATGTCATTTGTTTTCATTCGTGTTGTACTCCCGTTGCCAAACCAGGCTGGCTTTCAGCACAGAGTGCGCGCATCCCTAAAAAGGACCCCGGAAAGTGTAGTTTGCGCCGCGCTACAACTCCCAGCGCCCTCGGCGCACTAGAGATCCCAGGATTCTTTGATGCGGGAGGGGACGTGCTTTGAGTGTCCGGGGGTCAAACAGCTTGAACGGGAGTTAGCAAGCGGGGAGCTGCCCGCCCCACTTTACCCCTCCTGTTCCCACCGCAACAGCCACCCCAGCAAGGAACCTGGAGTCGCACCCCGGCCCGTGGGGTGGGGCGTGGCGAGGTTATTTTCCAGCAGCGGAGGCTCGGCGGGGCTGCCTTCTGCAAGGAAACAAAAGAGGCACGTATGGCGTAATGGAAAAATACATGGGGGGGTGGAGAGAGGGTTGTACCATCGCGGCTCGACGGGAGGGAGGGAAGGGAGAGGCTGGCCCAGGGCCTGCCGTCCAAGTTTCGAGGGGGAGGCCCGGCGAGGCGCGAGGAATGCGCTCCTCTCCTTCCCCTCCTCCCGCAGCTCAGCCCCCTGCAAGCGGCGTTCACAGCTGCGCTGGGAGGCGCGTGCACGAATAAATAGGTTCGGGGGCGGAGGTTGCAGCTGCTTGCTGGGAGCGCGCGCGTTGGCTTCGTGGAGGAATCCACCCGCCGGTTGTGCGGAGGGAAGATGCGCAGAGGGAGATATGGAGCTGGCAATCCCCACCGCACGTTAGGATTTACGGGGTGGGGGCAGGCAAGCACCCCAGAAAGTAGGATCCAGATTTTCAGCCCCGCAGGCGTCGCTGGGGTGGCCCTGGTGGTTTGGAGCGGCTCCGCTCTCCAATCCTGCCACCTCGGTTGTCCCATCTGTAAAATGGGACCAAAAGAGAAGGCGACTTCAGAGAGCTTTGGTGAGAAAGTGGGCATCTTGGGGAAAGGAGGGGCAGGAAGCCTCCCCCCCTTTTTTAATGGCCACGGGGTGGTAGATAATATCATGAATTATTGGAGGGTGCTGTTGAGAGTCTTTCCTTCACCGGTTATTTATGCACTGTTGAACGCAAGAGGTCCTTCCTGCTGGAGCCTCCTCAAGCTCACAATCCCCCCCCCCCCCATGAAAAAGAAAGAACCGCAACTGCCAAGAGATAGTTGGCCAACTGTGAACACACCGCACGTGGAACCTCTTTGTCCAGAGGCAGTCTGCCAGCTTTGGCAGGAGGTGCCCGTCCAAATTCCCTGCTCGCGCTCTTCCCAGAGGTATCCGTCTGCTGTTGCAAACAGGATATGGGAGCAGGGGGACCCCTGAGCTAGCCCAGCTATGGGGAGGGGGAAGGTGCATTACCCCACACGTGACTGGAGGCACTTGTAATGCACACAGATGTTGGCAACAAATGACAGGTGTGGGCGGGAGCACTTTCGGGGAGAGGCGGGGGAGGGAAATTTGGCAGAGACCAGAAGGGATATGGAAATCTGTGCGGGTGACTCACCTGCTCAACCTGGAAAATACTACAGCAGCAGGAAGGGGGGAGGGGTTCACTTGGCTGCACTTCAGATTTCCCCTAGCTGGAACTCTACGTTGTGGTGGTGTGTGTGTGTGTGTGTGTGTATGCATGCTTGCGGGTTTCAGTGCACAAAGCTTTAAAAATAACCAGAAGCTCACCAAATTGGGTGGTTTAACTTTGGTGTTACCTGCTTAGGAAAGAAACATTATTATTATTATTTATTTGATTTATTAAAATTATATACCGCCCTATACCCACAGGTATCATGGTGGTATACAGAATAAAATCAAAATTTAAAACCACAAAATCCATAATCAAAATAAAAACAACAGCAACCCAATAACACCCCAATTTTATTTTAAGGGCATAGGAGTTAGGGCTGGATGAGTCGGGGGGGTTGGGGGTGGGTAAGGAGTACAAAAAGGATGCATGTGGTGCTGTGGGTTAAACCACAGAGCCTAGGACTCGCCGATCAGAAGGTTGGCGGTTCGAATCCCTGCGACGGGGTGAGCTCCCGTTGCTCGGTCCCTGCTCCTGTCAACCTAGCAGTTCGAAAGCACGTCAAAGTGCAAGTAGATAAATAGGTACCACTCCGGCGGGAAGATAAACGGCATTTCTGTGTGCTGCTCTGGTTCGCCAGAAGCGGCTTAGCTGGCCACATGACCCGGAAGCTGTACACAGGCTCCGTCGGACAGTAAAGCGAGATGAGCGCCGCAACCCCAGAGTTGGTCACGACTGGACCTAATGGTCAGGGGTCCCTTTACCTTTAAGGAGTACAAAACCAGGAAGGGTGTTTTTTAGTCTCTCTGTCTTTCTCCACCCTCTTTTCAAATGATTTTGGGCGGGCAGAGATTGGGAGCAAGGCAAGGGCGGGGAGAGAGAGCATGGGCCTAAAGCCCCCAGTGGAAACCAGAGGTGGGGGGGGGAGAACAGAGGGTGCCCCCCTTATTCCTAGTGAACAGCCCTCGCAGCATCCTTCCTGGGCATCTCCAGGTAGGGCTGCAAATCCACCTCCTGTGGAATCCTGGAGAGCCTCTGCCAGTCAGAGTAGACAAAACTGGGACCTAGATGGACCCAGGGGTCGATGTTTCTTAGGGTGCAGAGAAAAGATCCCAGGACAAAAATCTTGGGGTAATGTTGGTGGCATCAGCAGAATGACTTCTCTGCTACCCTTCCCTATCTCACTTCCTCCTTTCTCTCGCCGGCTTAAATTTAGATTGTAAGCTCCTCCGGGCGGGGACCTTTCTGTTCCCCTTTTGCTCACAACGCTCCGCAGGCGCCGGTGAGATGAAACCCAGGGTTTCCCCACAGCCTGTGAGGCAGGGGGAGGCCTTCCGCTTGTGGGGCTGATACAAATATCCTCTCTGTAAGGCGCTCTGGGTTAAGCGGAGACAGAAGGAACTGGCGCCACGAAATGCCAAAAAGTCGGAATGATGCGCTTATTGTGCACTGACTGTGCAAAACGGCCAGGGAAGTTGGATTGGAGGTTCTCTCTCCCTCTACTGAAGCCTTGCAGGGGCTTCTCCACCCCTATCCTCTTGACGGCTGGAGCCGTGGGGAAAGGTCAGTTTCCCTGACCTCCAGGCCGCAAGCCGATCTTGCAGCAATCCAACTGACCGGACAAAATTGGCCACAAGGGACGTTCGGTGACCTGCGGCGTCTGAAGCCTGTGAGAAGGAAGCAGTTTTATGTGGACATAAATGGGCTGCTAAATCAAAGGCCTGCCTCTGCTGCGGGCAGACTACGTATCCCAGCATGCTGCGCTTCCCCGTGAGTCATATGGCAGACCATTTTGAGATGGCCCAGGCTCTGGTTTTCCATTTCATGCGCTCTGACCATAGCAATTGCCTGTGACAGAAGGCTGGCATGTTTTTGTTTTCCCAGCTCCTGATGCCTTGGTTAGGGAAGCTTTTTAACGTTTAATGTTTGTTTGTTTTTGTTTAAAATTCTTTTATTCATTTTTCATTTTCGTTCATTACATACATCTCAAATTCTTAACGTTCACTATATATTCCTCCCTCCCTCCCTCCCCTTCAAGGCTTCCCCCAACTTGCGCTTCTGGTTTGTTTTATATTTTCACCCGCTCTGCTATCTCTCAACAGAAAAAGTTACTAATAACATAACATCAAACCTTAAAAACATACAAATAAAATTAAATACGTCATCTTATTTCACTATCTTCCAAACATTTTCTGATGCTGATAAAGTGGAGGTCTATTTAAATCCTGCCACCAAGTCTATTGCCTTTCTTTTTTTCTTCAAATATAATAGGAATGGTTCCCAATCTTTTTCAAAGTCTCTTTTCTCTTAGTCTTTCTGTCATTTTTGCCAGTTCTGCATAGTTCCTCAACTTCATTTGCCGTCGTTCTTTAGTTGGTATTTCTCCAGTCTTCCAATTTTGTGCAATCAACATTCTTGCTGCTTTAGTGGCATACGTGAAAATAGTCCTCATTTCTTTTGCTTTGTCTTGACCTAAAATACCTAATAAAAAGGCTCCTGGTTTTTTTTTTACAAAAGTTATTTTGAACATTTTCTTCATTTCAATTCAATTTAACATTTAATGTTTTATATACAGTGTATATTTTTATATGTTGGAAGCTGCCCAGAGTGGCTGGGGCAACCCAGTCAGATGCAGAAGGTGCAAATAAATTATTATTATTATTATTATTATTATTATTATTATTATTATTATTAGACAGCTGACACGGTTATCACTGCGGCTTCATGAATTCCTTGGTTGCAGATCTTCATGGCAAACCAGTCTGTGTTTGCTCTCCCTCTTTTTTTATCTCAGCTACCTCCCCTTTTAAAATATAATCATTTCCCCCTCTTAAAATATACCCAAGGCTTGGCAGAATTTGGAGTTTACCGGCTTGCCGGTAAGAGGCAGCCGACCCGACTGCCCTTCCTGCTGGACCAAAGATGCAATCTGGGCTTTTCGCAGAACGCTCTGTCCCTCTTGGAAAACTTGCCCTCTCCTGCCTCAGCCCCCCCCCCCAATCCTGTCCAGCAAATGCTGTCATTTGACCTACTTTGTGTCTCCCTTCACATGGTTCCCCGCTTGAGGTGAAAGAGGCAGTGTGACCCATTGGAGGAGGGCTGCCCCCCCCCCAGCTTGCTTGCAGGGGAATGTGGCCTTAGAACTTATTTGTGGCTTTCAAGAATTGTTCTCCAGCTTGGATCCCAAGTCGATGAGCAGCGGCTTTGGAAATATCTGACACACAAACGCAAAACTTGTGTTTGTTTTATCCCATGTTGACTCACTTATGGGTTCTTTGGTTTGGAGAAGGGGCTGAGAAGCGCCCCCCCCCCCCCCGCTCCCAGAACTACAAGCCCCAGGATTCCTGGGCGGACGGGAGGCGCGTCCACCCCCTCACAGTGCAGTAACAGAATCACAGAACTGTAGGGTTGGAAGGGACCCTGGCGTGTCATCCAAACCAACCCCCTTCAAGGCAGTCCTAAACATCTGCTCCAGTGGTACCGCTTCCTGGGGGAGGGATTACTTGGGGGGGGCACTAAGAAGCAAGGGAGAAGCTGGGGGGCAATAGGTGCAAATGATCCAGACTTTGGAAAATGGGTAGCAATGGATCACGTTCATCAGGTGCACTGAATTGATTGAATTAAATTGTTTTTGTTGGATTTCGTATAAGGAAGAACTTTCTGACCCTAAGAGTTGTTTGTCAGTGGACTCCCTCCGAAGGTGCTGGACTCTCCTTCCTTGGAGGTTTCTAATACAAAGGTTGGAGGGCCCTCTGTCATAAAATCATAGAGTTGGAGGTGACCCCAAAGGCCATCTAGTCCAACCCCCCTGCAATGCAGGAATCTCAGCTGAAGCATCCATGACAGATGGCCACCGAACCTCTGCTTAAAAACCTCCAAGAAAGGAGAACCCACAACCTCCCGAGGGAGACCGTTCCACTGCCGAACAGCTCTTCCTTTTCAAAAAGTTCTTCCTGTTGTTGAGTCAGAATCTCCTTTCTTGTGACTTGAAGCCATGGGTTCGAGTCCTACCCTCCAGAGCAGGAAGACAAGCTCGTTCCCATGGGGCAGCCAACGTCAGATATTTGAAGGTGGCTATCCTATCATAAAGGGACGAGGGTGGCGCTGTGGTCTAAACCACAGACCCTTGGGCTTGCCGATCAGAAGGTCGGCAGTTCGAATCCCCGAAACGGGGTGAGCTCCCATTGTTCAGTCCCTGCTCCTGCCAACCTAGTAGTTCGAAAGCACAAAGTACAAGTAGATAAATAGTTACTGCTCCGGCAGGAAGGTAAATGGCATTTCCGTGCGCTGCTCTGGTTTGCCAGAAGCGGCTTAGTCATGACCCGGAAGCTGTATGCCAGCTCCCTTGGCCAATAAAGCGAGATGAGCACCGCAACCCCAGAGTCGTCCACGACTGGACCTAATGGTCAGGG